CCTCCCTCCCCCCACGGGGGGATTCGCGGCTGTTATGTGGCCGGCTTCAACGAGATGCCCCCGCCGGGCGGCGAGCCGCCTGGGGGGGGGAATTTAGACGGCGCGAAGGGCAGCTTCGGCGTCCGCGCGCCGGACCCGTTCCGCGTCGACGTCATCATCGGCGGCGAGCACGTGAGCGGGGCGACCGGGCGGCTGGTCACGCACTCGCGCGGGCTGAACCTGCGGACAGGGGAGCTCCACCGCCGGGTCGTCTGGGAGTCCCGCACGACGCACCGCGAGGTCACGATCGAGTCCACGCGGTTTATCTCGGCCCGGACGAACACCGCGGCGCTGCGCTTCGCCGTCTCCGCGCGCCACGCGCACCACACGGAGATCCGGATCATCTCCCGCACGACGCTCCCGGGGGACGCCAAGACCCGCCGCGCCTGCCGCCCCGAGAAGGTCTCCGTCGGCTTCAACATCGCCGAGGCCTCGAGCGTGATGCTGCTCCGCACGCGGCGCAGTTGCCGCTACCTCGCCATGGCCACGACGGAGTCCTGCCGGTCCTTCGCCCCCCCGCGGGCCTCGGGGCGACTCGGCAGCGCCAACCCCCTCGCCGACCCGGCGAAGATGCCGTTTTTGGACCGAAGCCCCACCGCGCCGGGCGTCCCGGGGCTCTCCCCCATCCCCGCCGGGGGGGAGGGGGGGGGAATTCCAATTCAAACCCCGCCAGCGCCGGGAATAACGGCGCCAGCAGCACCGCCACCACGATTTTGACCCCCAAATGCGTGGAGACCGAGGCCGGGACCGAAACAATCTTCTTCAGCTGCATCCCCGAGCATTTCACCTTCGAGCTGACGAAGTACGTCGGGTTTTTGATCGAGGAGGACGCCCCGCACGAGGATCTCTGCGAGATCGTCGTCCAGCGCACGTGGGAGGCGGCCCAGGAGGGCTACGACAAGCTCTTTCAGGACCACTGCGCGGTCTTGGCGAACTTTTGGAAGCAGGCGGATGTGATCTATGAGGGGGATCCCACCATCCAAGGGGCCTTCCGCTACAATATCCTCCAGCTGAACATGTCCCACGGGACGTCGACGATGTTCGGCTTCCCTGTCCGCGGGCTGACCGGGGAGGAGAGTTTGGGGGGCTGCGAGTGGGCGGTGGACGCCTTTATCATTCCCTTTTTCGCGCACACCTGCCCGGCGAAGGCCCGCGCGTTATTGCAGTTCCGCATTCACACGCTCTACCAGGCCAAGGCGACCGCGCGCGAGGCGGACCTCCCGCGCGGGGCCCTCTACGCCCTCCGCATGCCCCCGCGCGCCGGCCACCCCTTCCCGGCCTACTTTCCTTTCCAGAACGCCGTGATCGCCTACGCGATGCGGCAGTTCGTCCTCGCGAGCGGCGATCGCTCGATTTTAACGCAGGGCGGCGCCGAGGTCGTGCTGGCCTCGGCCCTGGTGTGGTTGGAGTGGGGTGTGTGGGAGCGCGGCGGCTTCCACCTGCGCGGCGTCCTCGGCGCGGATTGCTATGGCGGCATCCAGCACGACCACCTCTTCACCAACCTCATCGCGCGGGAGCAGCTGCGGTGGGTGGGCGAGATCGCGCGCGAGCTCCGCGCGGCCCGGCCGGAGCTCTGGCGCGACCTCCTCGACCGCTGCGAGGCGACCGAGGACGACATCGCCGCGATGGAGCGCGCGGCGGCGAAGATGGTCATCGTCTACGACGCCGAGAACCGCATCCACCCCGTCGACCACACCTTCCCGACGAAAAACCGCTGGACGCTGAGCGATCTGACCCTTCGCGACGACCGCGGCCCGCTGATCGAGCGCTTCCACCCCTACTTGATCTACCGCCATCAGGTCTGCCATATCCCCGATGTGCTCTTGGCGATGATGCTGCTGCCGGATTGCTTCTCGGCCGAGGAGATGCGGGCGGATTTCGACTTTTATGAGGCCATCACCGCCCCCGATTCCTACTTGCAGGGCTTTATTAAAGGTGTCCTCGCCGCGCGGCTGCGGCTGGGGGAGAAGGCGATGGGGTACTTCCGCCAGGCGCTGCTCTTGGACTTGGACGACGCCATGGGGGACACCGAGGGCGGGCTGCACTGCGCGAACATGGCGGGCGCGTGGTGGGTCCTCGCGATGGGCTTTGCCGGGGCCAAAATCACCCCCGAGGCCCTGCACGTCGACCCGGAGCTGCCGGCGGGCTGCCAGGGCTACGCGATCCACCTCCGCCACGCCGGCGGGCTGGTCCGCGTCGACGTCCGGCCGCGGATCGCGACCTACACCCTGCTTGAGGCCCCGGCGGGGACCTCCGGGCTCTGCCTCCTCCACGGCGGCCACCGCCACGTCCACCTGACGACGGCGGAGCCGCAGAAGGTCCGGCTCGGCCGCGAGCTCTGCGTCTTCGACTTCGACTGCGTGGTCTTCGAGGTCGACAGCATCCTCGTCGGCATCCAGGACGTCCACTACGCCGCCTGGAAAGGGGCCCTCGAGGAGTACTTCGCCGAGATCGCGATGCCGGAGTTCGTCTTGACGAAGGAGCTTTTCCTCGCGTATTTGCGGCATAACCGCCCGATGAACGGCCTCGCGGAGCTCTTTAAGCGCTTCAATCGCCCCTTCGCGCTGCCCAGCGGCCAGACGAGCTCGGAAAAGGGGACTATCTTTTCCCATCTGTTCAGCCGGAAGCTTCAGAAGTTTCGGCAAATCATCCAAGAACAGACCCTGCAGCTTCGCGAGGGCGCGATTCCGCTGCTGACGAATCTGCGCGCGAGCGGGATTATGGTCGGGGCCGTCACCGACAGCAAAAACGGCCGATGGATTATAAACGAATTACCCCAGCTTCAGGCGCTGTTTGATCATTTCATCGACGGCGTCGATGGGGAGAACTTGGGCTGGTGCTACCGTCCGGAGATGGATTATTTCAGGTGCTGTGCGAAAAGCATGGATTGCGCGTGCTCGCGGGCGGTGATCGTGATGGATAGCTCCGATGGCTATTCGAAGAGCTGTGTGGAGCAGTTCTGCATGGTGATCGATGTGAGCGTGAACCAAGAGGCCCAGCAATTTCGCATACCCTGTGTGAATATTAATGATTTCAGCGATTTGACGACCGAGTTGATTAATGAATACATCAGCAACGAAACGCTTCAGAACTATCGTCGATCCAGGCGAATTGTGAAGCCGTAATATTCGATAAGTATTTTTATAGACAAGTGTATATTTAACGCTTTTTTCGCTCTTATTTTTCCCTGTTTACAGCTGTGAGGAAAAAGGCGCTTAGGCTTAAACGGAGAGGCTTGCAACAACATTGAAACTTCCGGAGTTTCATACCATGGTTTGTTCCTGCCTTTCTACTTTATACTTTTTTTATAAATGTTCATGTGCGTGGGTAAAATATGTGCTTATGAAATATTCTTATTGATATTGATTCAGCTGAACGACTTAAAGGGAATCCTTCATCAGATCGATGGGTTTTTCAATATCCTTTCCATGTGAGCTTCTCTTTTAAGTCCGAATGTTTTCGATTCCCATAATACGAATTATCTATAATCTTTAAATGACATGCGCCTGGAAGAGTGCACTTGGACTTTTTATTGGTACCAGTTTGATCTCTATTAAGTAATATTTTACCATCTGGATGATTAGTTTTCTTGCTACCCATAAAACCACAAAGAAATAAAACGAATATGGCCAGGCCAAATGTCCGAACGGCTAATCAACAACGCCCTCGTCAACCGCTTATTAACGGCGTACAGAGCGTATTTCCCAAGGGTAAATCTAACCCTTATAGCAGGTTTCACCCACTGGGTGCACTTTTTGCAGCTGCCGTAGCTGTTATTTTAGCGGTGTTTCTTTATCAATCCCTTTTCATCTCCCCGAAGGGAGGAAATTCCAAAATCTCTACATTTCTTTCCGAAGATAACCTCTCCAAACTGGAATCGATCACTTCGGAGGTTGAAAAGCAACCGACGGCGCTATTATTTGGTGAGATGATGGAAGTTTCCACAAGGGTGGGTGGGTTCTTAGAGCTTGCCCTCCTTCAAATGGTTACCGAGAGCGAGGAAACGCCTGAAAATGAGGTGATTTCCGTCTACGATCACACCTTACTCCAGCGTTCGGGAAAGGTGATTCGTAGAACGGTGGATATCGCCTATGAAACGCTCTTAAAGCTATTAAGAGGGGTCCCCAATGCGAATTTCCACCTCCCTTCTGAGCATTCACCGCGAATGCTGTTTAGTTGGATGGTATCCACCGCTCAAATGTATAACGCCGTGCTCACGGAGTTTTATCTTCGCGAGGATAACACTTACCACCACGCGGTATCGCTCATTCGTTCGGTAAACGTCTTAGGATGGGCCCCTTCCACGCATGCCAACTTTTTTAACTGGAGCGAAAGCCCATGCCAATCCTCCTATGAAGCGGCTTCCGAGAAGTGGACGAGCTTTTGTGAGAAATCTTGCACTTCGTTAACCACCATTGCCACCCGCCAGGCGGCCTCTTACGAGGAGCTCATTGCGCTTTACCCTCGTTATGCCCCTTTTCGTTTGCATTATTTATTTCTTCTTGCGTTAGGCGAGATCCCGCATGCCAAGAGTGAGGCCGTCCTTCAAACGATCCACGCACAACGGAAAGGGTTAAGTACCTATACCAATGTGGACGGCTTTCACAGCTCTTGGCTTGATCTTTTGGAATTCCATGTGCGTTCTTCTGATCAGCGGAGCGCCGAGAAGGTTGACAACACCCGAAAGATCGTTCGAGGGCTCTTGCAATCGTGCGGGAACTTATCATCGCATCATTTTATCAAGCTGAATCACGTCAAACACGAAGTGCACTGGCCTGGGACGTTTTCCAACGAAATACGTCCTCCACTGCTGACGCGTGCTCAATCACTAAACTTTATTAAAAAAACATTGCCCATCATGAACGCACAGGAAGAAGCTATTATATTAGAAGCCATAAAAGAATGTCAATAGCTTTCCTCTTTTTTTAACATGTCTTCCAAAAAATAAATCAATAAATCAATATAACTTATGGATAAAAAAAAAAAATGATGCTTCCCCGTTGACAAACCTTCAAATTCAGTAGCGGTAACCATTTACGACCTCATGACCGCACTCGACATTCGCTTGTGATGTGTGCGAAGGGGACGTATGTGGTGAGGTAGTCCAGTGGAGTCGAATGGCTGATGTCTTCGCACTCCATGGGGATTCCTCCTCTTCTACGCCGCCTTCTTCTTTCCCACAGCCCCATTGGGTGCCATACGGCCTACGGCCCTCTCTTTCTTTTCGTCCTTCTCTATTTTTTTTCTTGTCCAAGCCTTTTACCCCATCCCAAAGCGAGAAACGCGCGCCCGAACGCGCGCGAGACGCCCTTGGCAGTCACCGAGACCGCGAACGCAGCCCCTGCGCGGTTGAGCGCGCGAGCGGACGCGACGGACGACCCCCGCGCGGCGATGCGGCCCGGCGGACGGCGGCCTTTCCCCCCCGTGGCCCTCTGCCGGCTGGCGCTGTTGGGCCTGTGGGTCTGCCTGGCGACGCTGCCCCAGGGCCGCGGCCGCGAGGCCGCCGAGCCC